TTATAATTTTTTTTTTCATGGTTGAACTGGATGGACTTTTGTCTTTTTTCATCCAGACTAACTATGTAACTATATATATATGTAGTACTGTATATGCTGCTTTGGACGAAGTGGAGTGCGTAATTTCACTACTCCTCTCCACTACATCCAGTCAGAGAGGACTTTCCATTTATGGAGTAAATGGAAAGCGTTCTCTGAAAGGCACCTGTGCCCAATGGCCAACCTCCCGGCACAAGATCCAGAAGCTAGTGGAGATCTCCGGAGTAGCGGCTGAGTAACCGTGTCTTATTCAGTGATTTCCAGCTTCCAGTCAGGTATGGTATATACATAGCTGATCCAAGCTGGACCAATCTAACTATATAAAAAATCCAAACCTGGAACTCTTCTTTAAAAAATAAATTAAATCTTAAATGCAACTTAGTTTGGTATCTGGCTCTTGCAGTCCCTTGTGCGGTGTCACTCAAACTGGAAGGGGGGTGGGAGGGAGGGCAGCACTAGGGGTCAATCAGGTGTATTGTATACTCATGGGCTGACAAGAAACCTTCCAATAGGAGGAGAGAGCAGAGGGATGAGCTCATCAGTCTTTTGCTGTCCAGTCACAGGTTGGGGGCAGGTAGGTGACCAAGCTGTGTTGTTTAATTCAGTTTTTAAGGGACCTTGACACTTTGCCCATTTGCCCCCTCTTCTGCTCCGCTATTAAAAAAAAACTGTGCATACGCAAATGCGGTGCTGGTCTCTTGGAACTTGGGAGTTGGAAAAGACCAGCAGCACATCTGCACACATGTGGCAGATTTCCAAACGTGCGCACAAATGCCACTAGCTTCTGGTGGATGGGCAAACTAGGGCGCCCAACAACATTTGTGCACATGCACAGCTAATACGGAGTGAAAGTCTGACTCGGTTGTCATTTTTGGTCCCGGTCTTCATTATTGTTGGTTTTGGTCTGTTTTGTGGTGCCAAGTTCTAGTAGGGTTGGGCTCCAAGAGCCAGGTATCTCCACTGAATTTGTCTACTTTGTTGGGTACTCTAGTTTCCTCCTGTAACCCAACAACTTAGAGTGGAAGAGCCTTAATGAGCTGCTCTAGGATCATATAACATGCAGCCTGTTCATTTTTACCTTAAAGCTGAACTCCGGGATCACCAAATATTGTCTAAATTCATTCATGTATTCTTCTTAAATCTTGGTGTGCTTTGTGTATTTATTCCAAATCCAGTAATCCAGTGCGAGACATTCCTGTAATAAAGACCAGTCACTGTTGCTCTCTCTGCTTGTGCAGGTTGACTGGTCTTGTCTCCGCCCCCTCCTGTAGTTTTCTGCAGGTAGCCTGTAGTGGGTGGGGCCTGCCTGAACCCTCCCACAGCTCTGCTCTCTGCACAGGTTATGTACAGCACAGTAATGATGTTACTGCTACTTTTACAAAGCAATGCATGGGTTTGTAGAACATTTGTTGCATACAAAGAGGATTTATACGGTATATTTTGCAGCTATTGAGGAATGTTTTAATGAACGTGGCTGGAGTAGATCTTTAATTCTGTCTCATAAACAGTATGTTGTATTTTGTGCCAAGCAGAGTCTCCCTTACATCCAGGAAACCCAGAGCAGAGTCCCCCAACCTCCCCCCCCCCCCCCCGCTACATCCAGGAGTGCCCAACAGAGTTCACCCTCACATCCAGGAGTGCCGAGCGAGCAGAGTTCCCCCTTATATCCATGAGTGCCCAGCAGAGCCCCCCTTACATCCAGGTGTGCCCAGCAGAGCCCCCCCACACCCAGATGTGCCCAGCTATGTTCCCCCTTACATCCAGGAGTGCCCAGCAGAGCCCCCCCCCTACACCCAGATGTGCCCAGCTATGTTCCCCCTTACATTCAGCAGTGCCCAGCTGAGTCCTCCCTTACAGTCACGAGTGCCCATCAGAGTTCCCTTTACATCCTGGAGTGCCCATCAGGAGTCCCCCTTACATCCAAGAGTGCCCATCAGAGCCCCCACCTTACATCCTGGAGTGCCCATCAGAGTCCCCCCTTATATCAGGAGTGCCCAGCAGAGCCCCCCTTACATCCAGGAGTGCCCAGCAGAGCCCCCCCCTACACCCAGATGTGCCCAGCTATTTTCCCCCTTACATTCAGCAGTGCCCAGCTGAGTCCCCCTTACAGTCAGGAGTGCCCATCAGAGTTCCCTTTACATCCTGGAGTGCCCATCAGGAGTCCCCCTTACATCCAGGAGTGCCCATCAGAGCCCCCACCTTACATCCTGGAGTGCCCATCAGAGTCCCCCCTTATATCCAGGAGTGCCCAGCAGAGTCCCCCCTTACATTCAGCAGTGCCCAGCAGAGCCCCCTCCCCCCCCCACACACCCAGATGTGCCCAGCTATGTTCCCCCTTACATTCAGGAGTGCCCAGCAGAGCCCCCCCCCCCTACACCCAGATGTGCCCAGCTATGTTCCCCCTTACATTCAGGAGTGCCCAGCAGAGCCCTCCCCCCCTACACCCAGATGTGCCCAGCTATGTTCCCCCTTACATTCAGCAGTGCCCAGCTGAGTCCTCCCTTTCAGTCAGGAGTGCCCATCAGAGTTCCCTTTACATCCTGGAGTGCCCATCAGGAGTCCCCCTTACATCCAAGAGTGCCCATCAGAGCCCCCACCTTACATCCTGGAGTGCCCATCAGAGTCCCCCCTTATATCCAGGAGTGCCCAGCAGAGCCCCCCTTACATCCAGGAGTGCCCAGCAGAGCCCCCCCCCCCTACACCCAGATGTGCCCAGCTATTTTCCCCCTTACATTCAGCAGTGCCCAGCTGAGTCCTCCCTTACAGTCAGGAGTGCCCATCAGAGTTCCCTTTACACATCCTGGAGTGCCCATCAGGAGTCCCCCTTACATCCAGGAGTGCCCATCAGAGCCCCCACCTTACATCCTGGAGTGCCCATCAGAGTCCCCCCTTATATCCAGGAGTGCCCAGCAGAGTCCCCCCTTACATTCAGCAGTGCCAAGCAGAGTCTCCCTTCTATCTAGGAAACCCAGCAGAGCACCTCCCCCCCCTACAGCAGTGCCCAGCAGAGCCCCCCTTACATCCAGGAAGGCTAGTATAATCCCTCCATTACATCCAGAAGTGCCAAGCAGAGAGATTTTGCTGGGCGGATAGAGGTTAGAAAGTGATGAAATTGACACGTTCTCTAGAACCCAGGGGGAGAACAAAGAAGGTCTTTGGGCCTAGCCACCAATGATGGCCAGGATGGTTCATTGCCAAATTGTGAGACTGTATACTATTTACGGCAATTGACCATGGTCAAGGTTCAGTCAATTGACACATTCTGCAGAACCAACGGGGAGAATAAAGGGGGTCTTTTGACATAGCCACCAATGATGGTCAGGATGGGGCATTGTCAAAATGTGAGACTGTATACTAATTTATGGCAATTGACCATGGTCATGGTCGAGTCAGTTGACATGTTCTCCAGAACCACAGAGTAAAGGGGCTCTTTGTACATAGCCACCAATGATGGCCAGGATGGTGCATTGCCAAAATGTGAGACTGTATACTATTTACGGCAGTTGACCATGGTCAAGGTTCAGTCAGTTCACACATTCTCCAGAATCAAAGGGAAAAATAAAGGGGGTCTTTCGACATAGCTACCAATGATGGCCAGGCTGGGGCATTGTCAAAATGTGAGACTGTAAACTAATTTATGGCAATTGACCATGGTCATGGTCGAATCAGTTGACATGTTCTCCAAACCCAAGAGTAAAGGGGCTCTTTGGACATAGCCACTAATGATGGCCAGGATGGTGCATTGCCAAAATGTGAGACTGTATACTAATTTATGGCAATTGACCATGGTCATGGTCGAATCAGTTGACACGTTCTCCAGAACCAAAGCGTAAAGGGGGTCTTTGGACATAGCCACCAATGATGGCCAGAATGGTGCAATGCTAAAATAAGAAACTGTAAACTGTATTCTAATTTCTTACAATTTGTGTCAACCAAAGCTGATCATACTTTTAAAATAATTATTTAGAAAGGGCTCATTCAAACATCATGAACGTACTACAGCAACCTTTAAAGCACATGTGCTGCACCGCACCACAACACACAGTAACACATCACTGGGTGGGAAAAACGATGCATATTGATTGGATTTTTTGGTGTTGATTTGAATAGGCTGCCCTGACGCAAAGACGTGTTGGCGTGCAATGTTGCATTGGAGTGGACTAGATAGTTGTAAATCGGCCCTTTTACCATCGTACCAGGCAAACCTGATTGTTAACTGTGAAGGTTTATGGATTCTGATATTCTAAATGGGAAGGGGGTTCAGGTTTTCTGTTCCTCAACAAACCAAAAAAGTACCTGAATGCAAATATTTAAAAAAAAAACTCTTCAAATCTATAAAGTGGCAAACACTTGGAATTAATTTCCATTTGTACACTGATAGGTTCTTGCTGGTATTTTTTGGTTGTCCTTAAATAACCCCAATTGTAAGCATTCCTTGTTGAGGGCTCATGGAGCAGGGTGTGCCAGTCTTGTGCTGGAGCGCCATCTAGTGGATGTGTTTAGAAATACATCATACTGCTTTCCCAATGTTATAATGAAGGGCCCCAGGTAAATTCACTAAAAGATAAGTCCACCTTTTACAATAAATAAATGCTCATATATATGCATTTATTTATTTTTTGTAAAGTATTGCAACTACGAGCAGTGGATGGTGGTTGTAATGCCAGGCTCCTGCAGACCCTTCCTCCAGCTCTCTGTCCATACTGAGGTAGGGCTTTCAGTTGGAGAGCTGGAGGGCACATCAATGGACTATGAGTGTAATGATCATCGCACTTTTTTTCTATTGAGAACAAGTCTGTCTGCTGTTGTGGCACTTTATTTATTCACAGAAGGTTTTGTCATATGCACACCTTTGATCTAGATATGAATTAAGGTTGACTCTCTGCAACTGTTTACTAAAGCACTAGAAAAGCATTAACCTTTTTTTGTGTGTGTGTGTTCTCTTTAGATACATTCGAACCATGTATTTGGGCATTCAGAGCCAGAGGCAAAAGGAACACCAACGTCGCTTTTATTGGGCTATGATGTATGAATATGCAGACGTCAACATGTTGCGCCTCCTGGAGACATTCCTCGAGAGCGCCCCCCAACTGGTGCTACAACTCTGCATAATGATACAGAAGAACCGGGCAGACACGCTTCCATGTGAGTTATCCTCATGTTTTGTAGCGTGCACACACTGTGCTGAGATCAACATCAATGTATTGTTTAGGTTCTTATCTTGCAGATGGGGTCAGAGATTGCAGTATGGCAGTTCTACCAGTCATGGTGTAGGTCTATGGGCTGTGGTGATGAGTTCACCCTTAAAGCTTCCTTTCCTCACCCAGGGTTATTGGTTATGGGCAATGACTCAAAGGGCAGAATTGTAGATACAGCTGGATGAAATGCACTAGTAGTAGAGGGTTACATTCAATTGGACTTGTTTTGTAACAATTAAGATGTTTCACCCCAGTTCCTGCACCTTCTGACCTCAGATAACCCCAAAACCTGCACCTTCTGACCACAGATCATGTTGATTCCTTCATCTTCTGACCTCAGATCAGTCCCAATTTTTGAATGTTTCTACACCATCACACCTCAGATCACCCAATTCCTGCACCTTCTCACCTCAGACCACCCCAGCACCTGCACCTTCCGACCTCAGATTGCCTCAATACATGTATCTTCTGACCTCAGATCACCTCAATACCTGCATCATCAGACCTTAGATTATCCCAGTTCCTCCACCTTCACACCTCAGATTGCTCTGATTCCTGCACTATCAAATCACAGATCACTCCAATTCCTGCACCTTCACACCTCAGATTGCTCCAATTCCTGCCCCATCAGTCCTCAGATCACCCCAATTCCTGTAACTTCACACCTCAGATTACTCCTTTTCCTGCACCTTCTAACTCAGGTCACCCCAATTCCTACACAATCAGATCTCAGATCTTCACCCCAGTTACTGCATCTTCTGACCTCAGTACTTCAGATCAGTCCCAATTTCTGCACCTTCATACCTCAGACCCCTCCAATTCCTACACCATCACAGTCAGATCAACCCAGTTCCTACACCTTCAGACCTAAAATCACCTCAGTTCCTGCACCCTCTGACCTCAGATCACATAAATTCCTGCACCATCACACCTCAGATCACCCTAGTCCCTCCACCTTCAAACCTCTGATCGCCCAAATTCCTGAACCTTCACACCTCAGATCACCCCAAATCCTGCAGCTTCTGAACTCAGATCATCTTAATTCCTGCACCTGCACCATCAAACCTCAGATCACCTCAATTCCTCCACATTCACACCTCAGACTGCACCAATTCCCTGCACCTTCACGTCTCAGATCACCCCAATTCCTGCACAATCAGACCTCAGACTGCACCAATTCTGGCACCATCACACCTCAGATCACCCAATTCCTCCACATTCACACCACTGATTTCCCCGATTTTGGCACCATTACACCTCAGATTTCCAAAATTCCTGCATCTTCACACTTCAGATCACCTCAATTCCTGCACCTTCTGACCTCAGATCCCATAAATTCCTGCACCATCACACTTCAGATCACCCTAGTCCCTCCACCTTCAAACCTCTGATCGCCCAAATTCCTGAACCTTCACGCCTCAGAACACCCCACATCCTGCAGCTTCTGAACTCAGATCATCTTAATTCCTGCACAATCAAACCTCAGATCACCCCAATTTCTGTATCCTCTGACCTCAGATCACCTTAATTCCTGAACCATCTGACCTCAGATCACTCCAATTCCTGCACCATTGCACTTCAGATTGCCCAATTCCTCCATCTTCACACCTGAGATTGCCCAAATTCCTCCAAATCCATGCCTCAGATCACCCCAGTTCCTCCACATTCACACTTCTGATCGCCCCACTTTTGGCACCATTACACCTCAGATTGCCCCAATTCCCGCAATTTCACACCTCAATTCCTGCATCTTCATACCTTAGTTCCCCCAATTCTTGCACCTTCACACTTCATATCGCCCCCATTGCTCCATTTTCCCACCTCAGACCACCCCCATTGCTCCACCTTCCCAACTCAAATTGCCCCACGTCCCCTACCTTCACCGTCACAATAGGCTAATTACTGTATCTTCACAGCTCAGAGCACCCCAATTCTTGTATCTTCAAACCTCAGATCTGCCTCAATTTCTGCATCTTCAAAGCTCATATCACCCTCTTTGCTCCACCTTCCCACCTACGATCAGTTGTATTCCTGCACATTCACACCTCAGATCAGACATTTTTTAGAATTCAACCTAGAAACTGACACTACTTCAAATGTCAATCCCCTTGGTACCCCACAGCTCTCACTGGTTCCACTTGATGACCTCCACACCTTTGATGTCACCTGTAGTGACATGCAGGTCAGCAAAAAGAACCAAATGAGCTGTGGGGAGATCTGAAGATATACCCTTCCAGAGGTGTCAGTTATCCAGCAGACTTTAGGACCATTTTTCATAAACAGAGAGAAGTGGCAACCAGCATTGTGCTCTACAGGAGAGGAAAGTATGCATACTATTTTTTAATGGCGATAGCTTTCTTGATAAAGTTTTGTATATTGACTGGTCACTTTAAAATTAAGATTTATTTTCAAGGGCCCTCTATAAATCCTTTGGAGACAAGGAGGACCTAAAAAAAAAAAGGTTACAATTGCTATTGCTGCTTACAGAGGTTAACCCTAATCATAGTGTTTATGTGTTATAAAGTGTTCAGTAAGAGGATAGCCTGCTTTGATCCTTCTCTGCTCCTGGGGTCAGGCCAGCTCAATATGAGAGCACATTCTGTCCACTATCTGTGCAAAAGGGATGGGTTGACTCTCGCACAAAAACACCAGCAGATGAATCTCCTGCACTAATAATGCAACTACTCAACTAGATAGCCATGCCATGCTTGTGGGAGGACACCCTGCCCATCTGAGCACGCGTGCCCAGTTGCCAACCCCTGAGGTATATTATGACCTAGATAAATGAGAACCTTTATAGACATACTGGAGGAAATAATTTTGTATATAGAGAGAGTCAAATTTCATTGATAAAGTTGAAGAAACGTGTATTGCACCTTGATCTGCTAAAATTAGCTGCTACATCTTCAAACCACGAGGAGCAAGTTAAGGGAGATTAGTCATCCTTATGAATAAGTCCTAGAGGGTTCAACTAGAGGTGCTCCATGTATGAGAGAAGGTCCCAATACAAACAGAGGTATTAGATCTCTTAAAATGAAATTGATAATATAATATGATTGACAGATTGAATTAGATAGATCAAGAATGCTGAACAATGTTCCACAGCTCCAAGTAGCTTCCCCAGGTTTAAGTCTCAGGAGCATAGCCTGGCATTTAAATCTACACAGATAATTTAGTTATCTTCATACAATCACCAATGAATCTGTTCAAGCAGATGTTAGTTGTTCAAAAACAAGAAAGTCTGTGAAAACACCATATTCTAATTATATAATGCAACAACCACGGTGCCATGAAATCTGGGATAGGTGTCAATTTTTGGCAGTGCTGGGACAAGGTCATCCTTCACCCAGGGTGAAGATGCCAAACTGCAGCCCCTGTTTCCATGATGTGGGAACGTGATTGTCTTCTGCAATTGGGATTCCACTGCCACAAGCAGGGGCCACCTGCTTGCCTCAGAATCACTGTGCAGCTCTGGATCTGCCAATCAGAGTTCGCATGAACCTGGAAGTGCACAGTGACATTGTGTGCTCTTTCATGTAAAATGGCAGAAGAAACCCTGAACATTCCCAATGTGACAGTGCTGCTGTATTAACAAGCTAGTGACTGTGTTTAGACCAATACAGCACTGGCCGGAAAGAGGAAATGCAAAGAGAGAGAGAGCACAGTCCACACCTACTCCTGGCTCTCGCCTCACTATTTTTAACACTCAGCTGACAGGAGTAGTGATGCTGCTATGCCTACCTCTGTGAGCCTGTAGAGGAGGTGAACTTGTAGAGGAGATGAACTTGCCCATAATAAAACACTGCACCTCTTCCACCCCCTTTACCCCCTTCAGTCCCAACCATGATAATTGGCGCCACACTGCTGAAGGTGTGTTGTCGTTATGTGTTGGTGACAGTGGTGTTGAAGTTCCCCTTTCTGTTCTCGGACAATCAACATCTTCCTTGACATATTCCATGGTGATTGGATTAAGATCATTGAGTTACCTGTGTGGCTAAAAATATTGAGGTATGTTTCTGACACACCTGAGATCTGAGAAAGCTACTGGGTTGAGCTATGAGACATTATCAGCAATGCAGAACAAGCCTAGCTGAATGTGAATACCTACTCTGTGGGCAGCATTGGACATTGTGCATCATGACCATGAATAATGTTATCTTCCTAAGCCTCTTCTATAACTGTCTTCTGGCAGGTGTCTCCTCTGTGGCCTCTCTGATGTCCCTAGCTTGGGTGCTAGCCTCCTATCACAAGCTTCTACGGGACTCCCGGGACGACAAGAAAAGCATGAGCTACAGAGGAGCACTCATCCACCTCTTCTGGCGACTCTTCACCATATCGTCCCGTGTTATCTCATTTGCGCTCTTTGCTTCAATCTTCCAGCTCTATTTTGGGATCTTTGTAGTGGTCCACTGGTGCATCATGGCCTTCTGGATCATTCATGGTGGGACGGACTTCTGTATGTCTAAGTGGGAGGAGGTCCTCTTCAACATGGTGGTAGGAATCGTGTACATCTTTTGCTGGTTTAACGTAAAAGAAGGCCGGACTCGATATAGAATGTTCGCTTATTACACTGTTATCCTGACAGAGAACGCTGCCTTGACGTTCCTGTGGTATTTCTACAGAGATCCTAACACAACTGACTCCTTTGCTGTGCCAGCACTGTGTTGTGTTTTTCTTAGTTTCGCCGCCGGGATTGCATTCATGCTCCTGTACTATGGCGTGTTGCATCCCATGGGGCCACGAGCTAAGATATTTGCTAGCTCCTGTTGCGCCGAGCTGCTCTGGGGCATTCCTTTGCCTCCCGATGTTGAGCCCATGGCGCCACAAACCCCTGGGCACCGGGGGGCCCAGGCAACGCCCACCAGAGTAGTGGCGGAGCAACAGGATGATCTAGCAACTGACACGTGCTTGCCCGTTTTCCAGGTGAGACCAATGGTGCCATCTACTCCATCTGGGCGCCCTTATTACCCAGAAGGGCCCCTCATAAAGATTGACATGCCAAGAAAAAGATACCCAGCCTGGGATGCTCATTTTGTGGACAGACGATTAAGGACTATCAACATTCTTCAATATATCACCCCCACAGCTGTAGGTATTAGATATAGAGACGGTCCTCTCTTGTACGAGCTTCTACAGTATGAGTCTTCTCTTTAATGCTCTACGTTCAGAGGAACCTTATTTTTGTTTACGAGAAACACAGCTTATTGAAAAGAAAAAAAAACACACAAAGAAAGAAAGCTTGGCCAAGAGCTTTATTTCTGGTTGCTGTAGGTATACAAAGATATTCTCTATGTTTTGTAAGTAAAAACGAAAAAAAAAGAAGACTATTCTTTGTTGTTCTACATAAGAGAAAACAGTATTGAACCATCCACGCTACGGTCTGGGGTGGGGAAAAGTTGTCTCCACTCCATATTTTATACATTATACACCAAGTGTAGAGAATTTATGGGATTGGTGCTGATAGAAAAAAAAAAAAAAAAAAAAAAACTAACCTTCAACTGCCTTATGCCCTTTTGGTGCTGAGTTTCATTAACTACTGTCACCTCTCTAATGCAAAATCGGTGGTGGTAGTCAGGAAAGAGATCAAGCCTTTTTCTTTTTTTGTTGTCGACTGGCTACTTTCAATGAGGTCAAGGTCTGGAGCGCAGCCGAGACTGAACACGACCCCCCCCCCCCCCCCCCCCCCCCTTTCTCGAAAGTGTCATCTCACACCGAGGATGTAGATATCCGGCTCTTGCTTAACCCTTTCACTGCTGGCCTCCCCCTACAACAGCCAAAGGGTTAACGCGAGGACGAGATCTTTGGACGGTCGCTATGTGATGGTCAGCTGTATTCTGCTTGCACTGAATTCACATAGTAATACCATTTTTACTTCCAAAAAAGAAAAAAAAAACAGCAAACAACAGTTGACCTATGATCAAACACCAAAAAAAAAATCTGTTACCTTCTACTCAAAAAAAAAAAACACAGGTCAGAAAATTCAGTAATAATCAAACTCAGCATGGTAGCAAAAAGAACGAAGACAATTTAAAGGCACAATACTTGGTTGGTGACTGCATATTTTTATTTTTATTTTATTTATTTATTTTTTTTAAAGCCGTTGTATTACAATTATCCACTAAGGTCTTGTTTGTGTGTCATGTTAAATCTGAGCCTTAAGGTAATATCTAGTGCTAATTTTCTTTTTTCTTTTCCACTTTTTTGTGTTTCTACAACAACAGGTTGTTTAGGTGTTACGTTTTCCTCTAACAGAGATCAAAACAATTACTGGTGCTTTGTACTTTGATTTTTTGTGATTGGCTAAAGACCCTTCACACACAACTTGGTGCATTCAAGAACTGCAGCGAACTAATTCTCCTTTGTACAGTATGTATATGACAGAAATTATTGAGACTGCTGCTATATATTTTTTTTTAGACCTGCAGTTCTGGAAGATAATACATCTTTTTTTTTTCTCTGTGAAGCTTGACAAACTGTGTTGTGTTTAGTTGATCAAACTGAAAAAAAATGTTTTTTTTTTTTTTTTATTTTGTTTCCTTTTATGTATGTACTTTTCTTCCTTCCAGTATGTGCACAAAACATTTGTTTCTGGTTTGGTACTAATAACCTTGCTGGTTTATTTTTTTATTATTATTATTTTTTTTTTTTTTTTTTTTCACAAACACCTCAGTATTCAATTTTGTAATCTAGAGTATTGCTCCTTTAAACGGCCATCTTGATTCAGGGCATCTTTTCCCACATTCGCTCTACTTGGCAAAAAAAAAAGGTATATAAATATATATAAATACATATATACAGAGAGTATATTTAAGTAAATACTGTAAGTCTTTCCTGTGTGTGCAATTGAAAGAGTTCTGTTTTGAGTTTTTAAAATGATTATTATTTATTAATGGAAGAATTATCTGTGACTTGAACCAATGTTGAGCTATGCTAGGGAGTCGTTCAACATTGTCAGTTTGCAATGATATGTCTTGTTTGTTGTTTATTTTATAACTTCAAAGTCCTAGTTATTCTACAAAGTGATGCAGCATTTTAAACATCAAGAGAACAATGATTTTTAATTTATTGGATGTTCCCGGTAAAAAAATATATTTTTTTTGTATGTACCTTCTATTTCTCTGCAGATATCATAGGAATACATCAACCATTTGATTAAGGGCTACTTCTCAAAAATGTAGTCCGTATACCAAAAAAAAAGGCTTTAATTTGAGCCAGACATTCCTAAATTATTATCAGATGTTCTGTAATGCAGAGAAAAAAAATATAAATTTTGTGTTTACAGGCTCATTGTATATTTAACTTTTTGTCTGTTTACTATTGGTATTGTTTTCTTATGTTATGTGTGAAATTTTGTTTTATTTCATCTGTTGATTCCATCCAGAATTGTTTTAGATGAAATTTAGGCAGTGCAGCCTAAAATACCAGACACACATTTAAAAAAATTATAAAGTGGTATCCCTATACTCAGTTGTGTTCATTTTGTAAAGGGACCCCACACACCAAATATTAAAGGAAAAAAAAAATATTTGCAAACTGTTTGAACTTTGTTATACCGACACAGCAGCCAGTGAAATTTTTTTTTTATCACCAAAGGGTAAAAATGTATTCTAGATGTGACTGTTGAATTAATTGTCATTTCCTTCCAAAAATATGTCAAGATTTTTTTTAACAGTAAAAAACAGAATATGTCTGGATTTAAAAGTGCATTGAAAGCCATCTTTATAAGTATTGGATAAAGTAGGAAAGTGTTACAACCCATTTATTTTATTTTCCCACCGGAGATCATTTTTTCTCCCTGAGACAACTCAACAGTAACTGCGAAATCTTTCTCTCTAAAGAAAAAATAATAATTGCAATCGTGCTGCTCTGAAGGATTTATTTCTCTCTCTCTTTGTTCAGGTGGCAAGTCAAATTTTTGGATTTTTCTTAGACTTGAGAAATCCCAATAAAAATGATTGAAAAGAAAAAAATTATTGAAAAGAAAATTTTGGATTTTCCATCACTGTAAGTTCCAACAGCAATACTTACCATGACAAAGAGTGGGTTAACCCCCCCCCCCCCCAGCCATTGACACACAGACAGAAGATTTTTAAAAAATGGATGCTAAACCCTTTTACACTCTATTCAAAACTAAAAAAAATGGCTTTAGATATACTTTAAGTCAGATAGTTGTCAAATGTATTATTTCTTTGGTGTATATTAAAATAATTGTTAATTTAAAGCGAACCTTGTATTAAACTGCTAGGTCTCCATATGTGGCTGCCAACAACTCCTGTTCACAAAATACTGCATTACAGGAAAAAAAAAATGAAAAAAAAAATGCATTAGAAACACTAACTTTACTCCCTCCCATGTTTTGGTCACTTCCAGCTTCCTGTCACTGATGTCACTGGGCCTCACAAAGCGATCTTTGGAAAGCCCAGGATCCCCAACTTTCCCAGGATCTCACAAGAAGACCCCTTGGCGTCACCTTGTTCAGGTGAGCCTGCCAGAAGCCAAGGAAAAAAAAAAAAATATATATAAACAATTCAATCGTAAGCATTTTCAACTTTTTTTTTTTTTATATTGCGGTAGGGGGTTAGGGACAGCCACATACGTGGACCTTGTGTTTTAGGGCAAAGTCCATTTTATACTTTACTATATGAATTTTATGCAAAAATAACACAATTCAATTTAAAAAAACAAAAATGTCAGAAAGGAAATTATAGGCAAATTATGGCTAATAGAATCTGCGCCTTTTAAATGTATTGTGTGGGGTTACTACCTGTTAAAAATACCAGATCAATTAACACCTCAATGTTCAACCAACATGAAGCTGCAAATAACATCAAAGATTCAAAGCCTGTGTTGAACAGTTTAGTGCAGTAAAACATTTTTTGTACCACATCCATTGATGCAAAATTTTTAGATTTATTTAAATAAAAATTGTATTAAACTTTTTTTTTTTTTAAATTATTGCAATTTGGTGCTACTGTTATTAGCAGGGCAAGACTACAGAGGTTATATACCAACGGTCAACGGTTTCTAGTAAACTAAAATCTGTGCCTGCAAAAACCAGCATTTTTTTTTTTGTTTTTTTGTTTTTTTGCTAAAGGATGGTGGACAAATACAAATTATTGGTCACCTGACTTGGAAATAGCCTAGCTGGTAGATGCATGGGATTGGGATCAACTTTGGTTTTAACTGGATCCTGCTTATAAAATATCACATTAGACAAATTGAGATTAAAAAAATCTTGTAAATATTATCAAGTTTAGTTTATAAACTCTTAATTCATATTTATCACGTGTAAAGTATAATGGAAAAAAAAGGAATTCTCCGCTCCTGTTTTTTTGTGATAATCCAAGTGGCTATTCACTAACTCATATGAAAGGATTTCTACTGGTTTAAAAGAAGGACGACAATTTTATGTGTGTGCCTGTATCACTGGGAATGTAGCTTCTTTTTTTTTTTTTTTTTTGGCCAGGCATGTTCCGGGAAGCTTGTATTTGTAATGATAAGGAAATTCTTAAGAAATTATACTATATTTTATATTCCAGGTTATGTGGTCCAAGTTCTAGTTTGTAAATAGAAATTGATGTTCAGCTAGACTCAATGATCCTCCCTTGCCAAAATGGCATTAAGGGGTGTTTTTATTCAAAAAAATTGCAAAGCTGTTTTTCCATCAAAACTTAAGTTTGTTCTGTGGGGATAGGGCACAATTGAACTTGTGAATGGGGAAATATACCATATTATGGCCACTAGATGGTGCTGGCTTTCATTGAAAATAAATACGCTAAAAGGTGCCATCTAGTGGCCGTAATATGGCATTTTCCCCCATTCTCACTAGGAGTGGGAAAAAATACCATCTAGTGGCCGTAATATGGCATTTTCCCCATTCTCACTAGGAGTGGGAAAAAATATCATCTAGTGGCCGTAATATGGCATTTTCCCCATTCCCACTAGGAGTGGGAAAAAATACCATCTAGTGGCCGCAATATGGCATTTTCCCCATTCTCACTAGGAGTGGGAAAAAATACCATCTAGTGGCCGTAATATGGCATTTTCCCCATTCTCACTAGGAGTGGGAAAAAATACCATCTAGTGGCCGTAATATGGCATTTCCCCATTCCCACTAGGAGTGGGAAAAAATACCATCTAGTGGCCGCAATATG